GCCGCGGGCCGGGGGAAGGAAGCCTGCTTGTTTTCTGGGGCCCGGGCCTCCCGATGTCTGTGCTCCGCGCGGTTGCAGGCCCTGCGGCCTCGCCCGGTGCCCCTCCTCCTGGTCTTCTGAAATCGCCGCTACGTCGCATGGCGCCGTGTCCCAAAATAAACATGAACGTGTAGGGCCGTGGCCTTTCCCCGGGATTGGCTGAGCTGGTCACTGTTAAAGCTTCCCTTTTCTGCGGCAGTTTGCTTGGGGCGCTGGAGGGTGTGATGTTTTTAAAGCTACCTTCTTGGAGCTTCTGATTCAAGTGCCAGAAGTCACCCCCTCGAGAAACGTGCGTGTACCCACGTAGGGGAGTATGTGTAGCTTGAAGGTTCGAGGCAGCCTGTGCATGTGCTGGCAATGAGAAGCAAACGGACAACTTGTATTTTGGGTGGATAGTTTGTTAAATGAGGTGCCTGCTTTATAACTGCCTCCTCTGAAACTGGTTCTGCCTTCTCTGGAAACATTTGTGCCCTGGTAGCGTATACAGCATGGCAGCTATTTACATACGCACCCACGTAAAGAACAGTACCAATCATAGAATAGTTAGGGTTGGAAAGGACCAGTGTGTTATGGTAAATGTCTAAGGGCAGTAGGGAGAGACTGCATTTTGCTGGATTTGGGGAGAAAAGCTTTCAGGATCAGGTGCCTATTTGCATCTAAAGAACTGATGAGAAGAATACAAAGTATGATCTACAGTATTTTTCTGTGACAAACAGCAAATGCAGTATTTCCACGTTGTGGCTATTCAGGTAGTCTATTGTTAGTCAAATTCATACGTATAATGTATGAATTCAGATGTATTCATACAAATTCATAAAAAAATAATTTTGCCAAATCAACATGTACCTTCAAGATGAATTGCTAAGAAGCTCCATGTTGTCCTGAAGTCATTGCTAATACCTGTGATTTGATTGTACTTGTTCAGTTGGCTTGCATTGACAGTACAGAAAACTGCTCCAAAAGTAGGATTTGCCACACTGAATTAGTCTGTTTGGGCTGGTTCTGCATGCTGCAGGATGTTCTGCTGTATATTTGCCCCTGCTCATGGCAGGGGATGGAACTAGATGATCTTAAGGTCCTTTCCAACCATAACTATTCCATAATTCTACATTACTGCATTCTAGAAATAGTGTCTTTCTGAATGAGGCCAACAGTAGGGATTGAACCTGGAAATAGGTGAAGCAGGATGAGGGGATGGGTTTCTTTCATGTAGGCAACTAAACGTGGATCTCATTTTATGAAATGCACCCAGATGGTTCTTGCATTTCCAGAAGGAAAGTCCCTACACAGGGAAAAAACTCCTGTGTCATAGGGTGGATGACCTGAAAAATGCCTGCTTAAATCACAGATGCTTTCACAGACCTCTGTCAGACAAGTATAGGTTAGTGTGTATTTTACATGACATAAAGTTACTTTAACTTAACCTGCAAATGGAAATTTGGCCATTCACCTCAACTTGAATTTAGGAGCTAAAAAAAAAAGCCTAGTTTGTTCCATTTGCTAAATGCTGTGCTCTGCTCCCCCATCACACGTGCACACGCATTTCTCCCCCACAAAATTGTGAAATATCCAGAAGAATCTTGCTGAGGTTTTGCAGGGTCGAGTCATTGTAAGTCATAGGAAACTCTTCATTCATGCTGCGTGGAAACTAAATACCAGATATGAGGTCAAAGCTCATGCAAGCCCTTTTTGTAAATGCTGACCTGGGTAGGAGTCAGTAATCTGGGTATGAGTGAGGGTGTGCAGACTGAAAACCACTCTACCTCCCACCTTGAACCCTGCTCTCTGGCAGCCTCTGTCGTGTAGAGTCTTGATTAGGCCATTGGTGCTGATGTGCTGTGCCTCCCACTGCACAAATGCCTTAATCCCTCAATACTATAATGCATTCTTTGTAGAAAGCTCTTTATTTAAAAGGGGTTGCCATGAATATGAATTGAAGCTAGTGAACCAATTTGAGGTGGCTTAAATGAAAAATAATGCAAAAATGCAAAATACTCACTGGTAAACATTTGGAAGGATTTGTAGTAGGGGATTTGCCTTCTAATCACAGTGTCTCTTTCTGTCTCTCCTCTCCTCAGCGCTTCACAACCATCAACTAATAACTTCTCAAGATAATGGCCTCAAAAAGAGCACTGGTGATTCTAGCAAAAGGGGCAGAGGAAATGGAAACTGTAATCCCCACTGATGTTATGAGAAGAGCTGGGGTGAGTATGCAGACAGTGAAAAGCTTTTTGTGAGTGCTTGGTCAAGGGACAATCTTTGACTTGAGCTGATGTTCACTGTGAGGAGTTCAAGGTGTAGTTTGTTGTATGAAGTGAAAATTTACCCGTGCCTTCCTACTGGTGAGCACATATTTGTGCCATGGCCCGGATAAGCGTGCGTGACAAGTGACATTTGTGCAGACAGCCTTCTAAAATACAAACCTCATGTAGACTAGAGCAGATGTCTCAAGTAAATCTTACTCTGCCAGGAAACACGGCTACTCCCATGCACAGTAACAGGAAGTGCTTTTCTTTTGTAGGGGTTGGAACAGCTCAGTACGTTACAGCTCATGATCTTACATAGCTTTTCTTGAGCTACATTTAAAATCCTGTTATTAACTGGAGTTCTGTCTGGAGGGTTTTCTCATACTCTTGTTGCTTTTGCAACTATAGCAGTGTTATCTGATTAGGTATGAAAATAAGATTTTACATAAACACAGCAACTTCACAGGTATAGAAATGGCTAAAATAAGAATTACCTTCTCCCACCACATTTGTCATTCCATTAATATACTCCCCGTTTTGGCTGCCATAAGAAGAACAAGCTTTGCCTGCTTATTTAGTGAATGTGAGCTGTGCCATGCACATCTATGATACTATGACCAGGGATCTGAAAGCTAAGAGAGAAAACCGAAGATGCTGTAAGTGCATTTGAGAATGGCTTGAGGCTGCAAAGAGACTTTAATTCATTATCTGATCTACTTAGTCCAGCTCTCCTCAGTAGTATTGTTTTGTTTTACTTAAATCCTGTGGGATTTAAATGTCCTGTTTGAAAAGTTGAATTATTAGAGGTATTTGTTCATCTTTAGGTGAAATCACTGCTTACCTTGTGCATTTGGACTTAGTCATGGTTTGGGGAAGCTTAAATGTTCCTTGTTCTTGACAGTTTTCAGTAGGGCTTTGCTTATTCTATGTACTATTTAAGATACTAACAGATAAGTACAGTGCCCTAAGTTCTTGAATTGTATTGATACAAATATTCTTCTGTTAGATAAAGGTGACTGTTGCAGGCCTCACAGGAAAAGAACCAGTGCAATGCAGTCGAGATGTCTTCATTTGCCCCGATGCCAGTCTTGAAGATGCCAGAAAAGAGGTTGGTCATCTTCCTGATCTGATGTAATGGCCAACATTTCTTACAGTTTCAGAGGTGAATTTGGAAAGCTTATGCGTTACCTTTGGAAATGTGGTACATGTTATGGCAGCTCTATGCCGTAGTGTGAATCAGAGTTGCACACCCCGCAGCGCTCCCCTTCAGTGTTGTCCTGATTCATAGCATGCTAGGATCAGGCAGATGTCTTCATTCTGCACAGGTATTTGGTTTTGTGAAGCATCAAACATAGAACTTTATTTTGCATGTTAGTCAGCCCAGCAAAAACAGCTGAAAAGTTCAGATGGGAAGCTAAAGGATGCTGTAATTAGACCTGTACAGTAAGATTAGAGCAAAACCACTTGTTCTTACAATGCAAGAGCTGCCATTTGCTTGCTGAAGCAAATGCACTTGGCTTAAAAGAGTTCTGTGACAGACTTGAGCAATAATATGCTCTTCCTGGAGCAGGAAACAGTATTTTGTTCCATAATTGGAACTGGTTCTCTGATTGTAAAGTGTTCTTCAGTGGTGGAAAGGTAGATCCTTTTGCTTCTCACTCCACTCAGCTGTAGTGGCCTTAAACCAGTGTAATGTATGTACCAGCCTCTGCTCAACAGAACAATTTTATCTTTTGTTTGTTTAGGGACCTTATGATGTCGTGGTCCTGCCTGGGGGCAACCTTGGAGCTCAAAACTTGTCAGAGGTAAAGTTCTGGTATCTTAAAGATTCACGGGCATCCTCATGAGTAGTGTGTGGTCTGCACTTGCTTAGTAATTCTGCAGATTCAGTTCATCTTCTGAATGAATCAGGAAACTAAGTGTCTTAAGCCTTCCTTGTAAACATATAGGTGAGAGACCTGGGTAAATTCTTGGTCTTGAATACCCGGGTAAGCAGAATAAAAATGGAAGCTCTGTATTGTGGGAAAAAAAAAATCTCTGTTCATAATCATATGAAGATGAAACAGTTGCAAATGAAGATGTAATTCCATGAAATATAAACCAGGCTGAACCCACAGGACTCTGCTCAAGAATTCTGTCTCTGGTGCCAAATTGTTGTAGTGGTAGTATAAATACTCTGTGGAAGGCAGGCAGACAAGCAAGTTGATCTATCAGATAGGATTTAGATGGTATCACACAGTTTGTAAGCCCTGGAATATGAGTCAAATATCCCATATAAATTTTCTTAAGAACTAGAGAGACTGTTTGGCAGCATCTTATGAATCTTTCTTATTTGCCTTGCAAAGAGTTTGAACAACAACTTTCTATGACCAGGGATAAACTGGCTTTGTCATGGGCCAAGTACTTCCTTGCAGTTCCTTCTGGTTTCCTTGCTCATGCCTTGTGGGACGAGTATTTACTGGTTTCGGTTTTTCTCCTCCTTAGTGTTTTCGTTGGCCTCTGTTCTGAGGCAGGATGGGGAGCTGTCAGCTGGTTTTCTTTGTAAAACTTGCTTATGAATTTGCTGCAGTGGAAAATATTTCAACCATGCTTCAAATAATCAACCCCAAACAATGAATTCTGATATGATCTCTTCATACAGTCTCCTGCTGTGAAGGAAATTTTGAAGGACCAGGAAAGCAGAAAAGGCCTGATTGCTGCTATATGTGCAGGTGGGTTCACAGGGTGTCTTGCTTTGTAAAGCATGTGGATATTTTGAAGGGGTATACAGACAGTTTCCTGTCGTAGAAATCTGTATTCCTGTAATTTAGTAGCAGGAATTTATATTATACATGCACCCATCAGCATCTAAATGTAATAGAGGAATCTCTAAACTCCTGTGAACATTGATCCTGCAAGTTCTGCTTGGCACCCAGTTCTTTCCAATCAGTTGTGTTCCTGTCTTTAAAATAAAAAGTGAAAGGTAACGTGCTAGGATTTTGTACTAAATACGTGCCTGTTCTGGTGATCTTCCTGTGAGGATACAGCGCTGGCAGCACGTCATTGCTATAAATTTATCTCACATCTCCTCTCCTGCCCTTTAACTTCAGAAGGAAGGCTGTAAATATAGAATTACAGGCTCATCCTTCCTCATCTGTGTGGTAGCAAAAGGTGGAATTACCCGGAGGAGAGGGTTGTCTGCTTACATACTCTGCACAACTAGGTATCCAGTCCATTCCTCTGTAAGATCTGTGTGGAACAAAGCAAGATGAACAATTGCCGGTGCTCCCAGCTGAACTGAGGGGCTGGCTCAGGTGCCTGTAGCTGTGATGAGGAGAGTGGTGATGAGTGTGCAAAAGACAGTCTGACAGAGTGTGTTTGTGGAGTGTTTTCTGGTACATTGCTGGGGGTTTTTGCTTTCTTCAGTTAGGTGAAATGCTTGGAGAGATGTGAATGCTCTTGAGCTTGGCTCTGTCAGTCTTCTACTTCTCCATCTCTGTCTTGCAGAACAATCTCAGATTCACGATTGCCCAATAAAGGCCTTTGCTTGTAATCAGCACAGTTAGTTTATTTAGGTATAATGATTCTTAGATCTGATTCCAGCATAACACAAGGAAGGTTATTTCCCAGGCTGTATCTGAAACAATTCGAATGTACAGAAATGAAATTCACATTAGGCACATCCTCCCTTCAGGTTTTTTTTTGAATTTCCGTAAGGATTTTTTGGTCAGATGACCTAAGACTTCTTGACACAAAGTCCTTCCTCAATTCAGGCCAAGAAGGAAGTATGAAAAGAAAAGGGAAAGACTGCTAAAATCAAAACCTTAACAGTTAGTCCATCATCTGTCTAAAATACTGCTTGGCACGCAATTGCAAGAGGTAAAGACTTGCTCAAATGAGATTTTATTTGTTAAGTTTCTGAATTCAAGCCTTAACAAGGTCATAAAGTAAAAGGACCTTGTTAATGTTTTTTAGTTTCAGGCAGTGTTAAATAAAATGTATTATCTGGATGTGAAATGACCTTTATTCTCCTTCAGAGGCAGCACAATCACTGGTAGGAGGCTGCATGCACTGGGTGCTCCCGAAACCTTCTCTTTTCCTCGTCTCTCTGCATAGGGCATTTTGTGTGATAGAATGGGGGGGATTATCCAGCTGTGTTCTCTTTGAGGCCTTTTGCTTCAGAGGTATGGCTGGCATCAGTTTTAGGAAAAGTAGCCTGACCACAGTGAGCTTTGGCCCCTTGAGGGCCTAGTGACTGAGTGTGTATTCTTAAAAGTGTCTGTAGCAGGAAGCAGTTCCTCACTGGTGCTTTGTATCCTTACAGGTCCTACTGCCCTTCTGGCACACGGGATAGGGTTTGGGAGCAAAGTCACAACACATCCTTTAGCCAAAGATAAGATGATGAACGGAGGTACGTAATGACTTTTCTGAGTTTCTCTCTAAACCCTTCTCAGATTTGATTTTCGTTTTTAGCTGAACCCTTGATTTAAAGAAAGGAAAATAGCTTTTGTATCGTATTTTGTATCTCTGAATTGCCATAATGTTTTCCTGAATATAATCACAATTCAACTGAATATGCTAAGACTGTATTTCCAAGTCTGTTTAACCTGAAAATAGAGGGCTCTATTAACATTCTCATCCCTGGGGAAAAGGACACTGCTGCTGTTATATTAGGAGCAATCTTTTTTCATTATCCTCTTGAGGCTGAGCCATCTCTTGCCCTTTCGGTTCTTTGCCTCAGTGCTGCCAGCAGCAAACCCCAGCAGCACCCTTCCTGCTCTCCCATGAGTAATGCTTTCGTGCTATGAGCAGCTCATGGGTCCACACTTCCTTTTCATACCTGAAGGAAGCAGTGGTGAAGCACTATTAAGACGTCATTCTGTGACCATTAACAAGCCTGAAGGGGAGCAGGAGATGGCAGGGTTCCTCTAGTTTCCTCTGCATGCCCTTGGAAAAAAGAAGATTGTGAACAGCTACACAAAAGCAGTCTGACTTCCAAAAGTAATCTCACAGGAGCTGGCAGGCACAGCGAGCGCTTCTTCATGAGCTTGTACAATCCAGCGGTGCATTCCCATACTGCTGCCAGAGCTCCCTGCAGGCTCTTCTCCTCTGAGGACTGCAGGCAGCGAGGACCTGCTTGGTTCCGAAGGGGCAGGGGTCCAGAGCCCGAGGCAAGCTGGCTCCTTCTGTGGAGCATGGTGCCGTTGGCACTGCATGCTGGCTGCCATCAGGGCCTACAGGCAGCAAGTGACGGTGTCCTGGCAGGCAGGTCTATGCTCTGCAGCATCTGTGGGCACTGAGCTGGAGACTGACCCTCTTTCTGTTGTGTGTCCTCCCCAAGCACACTACAACTACTCCGAGAGCCGTGTGGAGAAAGACAGGAACATCCTCACCAGCCGCGGTCCTGGTACCAGCTTTGAATTTGGGTTGGCCATTGTGGAAATACTGATGGGGAAGGAAGTGGCCGAACAGGTGAAAGCACCCCTAATACTGAAAGAGTGAAACCCTGGTGTGGGCCAGGGAGTAGGAGAATTTCAGATAGAGAATCTCATCCTTTGTGGAATAACAGTAAGATGCACTGCTGTAAATAGAGTCTAATTGCAGGTGAAATTAGCAACTGTACTTCCCTA